AATCTTGCTTTTCGATGCAGCTGATTTTTATTCTAATTTTTATTAGTAAAATAATAAAGTTGAAACTTTGTATTTTTCAAATAGTTATAATTTCAATAAAATTAATGAAAAATGATGTGCTACCGTGCCTGACAATATAATGAAAATATCGCCTTGTAAATAATATATTCATTCTTAAAGTTAAAGGATTTAATATGAAAACAATGGGGGAAGTTCAAGTTTGCAAAATTTAATTTGAAAAAGTCTATTGTTATTCAATAAGCATTTATTATGCACATATAAAGTGCTGGGTAAAAGAATTAATATAAAAGAATGAGCAAATGGCCGTTGAGTGCATGACGAAATTATTTGCTAAGAGCTATATTATGGAGGTTCATAGCATGGTCGAACTTGCAAAATTTTCATGAGTGATGAGATGCATATTCGCCCTAAGAAGGTATGTCAGTTATACATGACTTATGGCTCAACAAAATTGTCGATTACCTTCCTTCTCTCTTATGTCATGGGTAACCGGAAGGACGTGAAATCTGAAATTTCCACTTTTTCGAACCAGGTTGCGCTCTACTCTTATGATACTATGTATATAAGTGCTGTTTGTATGCACTTGTGCCTTATGATAAAACTTTACTGCCTCAAGTATTGATATTTATTAGATTCGCGTATTTGTTAGACGGCATTTTGCAATGTATGGACAAATTTATAGAGATCGTAAATAGCGAAAAACGTGTCAACGATATTGGCAAAAAAATTTTTATACGTCATGTACACGATTGTTCTTACCTACACACATTTATACGTGGCCTCATCCGAGGATGTTTGTATGTATATACGTGAAAGCACTTATTGAAGTGTAAGAGTTGGAATATTTTACTTAACCTAATTTAATATTTATTAGTTATTCATTATTATTTAACAATTAAAATAGCTAAACGACCCTATGTAGGTATTAAAATAACTAACTAGTTTGCAATTATTTAATATTATCTGTTTATGATATTATACGACTAATAATAATTAGTGGGAGAAATTCGAGCATGATAGTTTCAATATATATCATAATAAATCATAAATTATAAGATCAAGAAAAAATCAACTTTGATTGTTTTTTACGAATTCTTTTGTAATCATATAAAATCCAATTATAGTATATTAGAGTTCGTTTGTAAGAAAAAACATCACTTTAAACATTAATAATAAATTAAATTATAAAATAAATTAACCGTGAAGATGAAATGTTTAAAACGCCTGATGCAAAATGAAAAAAACTATTGTTTCTCCGAAGATAAGATGTGTGATAAAAATACGCACGCGCTCATAGATATTTTTACTGAAATAAACATTGATATATTATATCTATCTATATATGTTGGTATGAGGCATGTTTGATCATTATATTTGTGAGGATATTGTAAAAAAATAGTATATGCAAGAGTATACATGAATAGCAATGTTTATACATTCTATATGAATATTCAAATGTTAGTAAATAGTTGAACACTTGCTACAAAGCTAATTATTATGTTTACAAACATTCAATGTTACATGATATTTAATAATGTTGCTTTTTTTTAGGGATTCTTGATTTTGTAGACAATACTTCAGTAGATTACTAAGGATGACATGGCGAAGTTTAACACTTAACTAGACATTAATATACAAGGCGTTTTATGTTATCAGAAGGGATAAGTTCCTCCCTCATTAAATGTGACGATAGAATTTCAAAACACTTTTGAGGGATATATAATAAAACATAATTTTTTTATTAAAAAATTCTAGTCATTAAGATAATAAAAGTTCAAAATTATTTAATAAATATTATAAAAGAAGCAATAAATGTTGTAAAATAATTTTAATTCATATAAAGCAACTTGCTAAGTTTACGAAATTTTAATGAAAACTTATAAATGATAAATAATTCAAATATTATTTGTAAACACTGTTACAAGCGTTCAGAATAGGGATTCTTGTATGTACATAGAGAATGTTTGCGTGTATTATTTAATTTTATGACATCCGGTTGAATTGCAAGGATTGGTCGTTACAAACATACATTAACAAAATTCTTAAATATTTCAAAAATTCTTAAAGCAAAAAACGTGCATGAAATGAAATTTTAAAGTATGAAAATAAAACAGAGAAAGAAAAAGAATTAGTCTCCTAGATAATGAAAAATATATGCATTGAATTCTGCGAATTGTTCGCATACTGTAACATGTACATCTTTCAGTTTTGGTATTCGTGAAGTACATCTTTTTTCTTTTAACATATTTGAAAGTTTCGGGAGCATTTTGACATCTTTTATACTTTTCGCTCATATTAAAGTATTACCAACTATACATGTAAAGAACTGAGAGGGGGAGAGTGAGAGAGAGAGAGAGAGAGAGAGAGAGAGAGAGAGAGTACAGAGTAGGATAATTATATAGGCAGGTTAACATAAGATAATTCTGTCTTACGTTATAATTTTAATTACTCAACTTTTTACTTGAAACGAATAATGAAAATAATATGAAAATATGAAAATAAAGCTAATATATGATTCAAAAATAAAATCAAAAATTACTTTAGGTATTTAGATAAAAATTTCTCTCCTACCTTAATCACGATGTTTCCACTTAATAATTTATTAATTCGCAGTTTAATTTGACAAATTAAAATTGAGAAATTTTTAATAATTCTATATAATAATATTTCGATAACTTTTAGTTATAAACTATACATTGTTAAATATATCCTTATTTAATATCCTTATTTATTGCATAAATTACATAGAATTTCATGATTTTAGATAACGGTCGGAGAAATTTATAAATTTTTATGAAAAAAGTTATAAAATATAAGAATTAACTATAATAAAACTGTCAAATTTCCGTATGTTTTCATTCCGTATATACATTTTCATATATATATATATATATATATTTATATAAATAAATACCAGAATGTAATTAGTTATGTTAATTTTTCATAAATTAGCTTGAATATATTTTGATATGTAACTTCATTTAGATTTTCACCCTAATAAAAGCAGATTGATCTCTAATAATTTTCTTAAACTATAATTTGTTTAATACATAATATTTTTAAACAAATTTTAATACTATAATATCTGAAAACATGATTTTATAGTAAAGAATGCAAAATGAAAAATATAACACTGACCATTTAGACATATTTATTAAAAATTATTCATGATCTTCAATTTTTCTAATATCAAATTAATAATAATTTCATTACTTTTATGGGAAGAATATTATTAAACATACTGTTTTAAAATACAATATTGTGATATATTTATTTAATGTTTACTTTTACATTTTTTTGCTTTTGTAAATTTTATATGAAAAAGCAAAGATTTTATAGCACTTTTATTACGATCATTCATTACATCTCGTCTATACCGTTCATATATTTATTGTTAAAAACTATGAATTTATAAATTATATTCTATTTTCAAAAGATGTCTATCTTTATCGAAATTCTATTGTATTTTTCTTACATGATAAATTTTTTCTTTTCAACTGTTAGTATAATTAATTTTTTCTTCCCATAATCGAGTATCTTTCATAATTCATAAATTGGTAGAAGTGAGGATAAACAAGTATTGATAAATAGAGAAAATAAGACGAGAAGAGAAATGTACAACGTTGATACGGATATGAATAAAGAAAGTTGTTTCAAATTCAGAAGAACATTACAGTATCATCGACATAATTAATATCGATGTAGATTTAATAAATCTCCTATTTTAAAAATATATCTTTCACGCTGATTCAATCAATATTCAGCTGAAGGATTGAAAAATTTCACCAGATGGGAACGTTAGCCGGAAATATTATAATATTTACAGTTGACAAAAGAGTAAGAATGCATAAGAGATGAGAAAGGTGTAGTCCCGCGTAAAAGTGGAAAAGGAAGCACAAAGGGAGAATGTCTGTACAATAAATCCTCCCTCATCGCGTAATCGGACAAGCGCGTCTTCTGCCGAGTCACTTTCCCTCTAAAAATTTATGCAAAGACAAAAATGATTCTCTCACAATCCTACGTGACTCGATTATCGTTTCCGATCCCAATAGAATTTATCATTTGGCGAAAATAAAAGTGTTCTATTTTCGCATATTATAATATATATATATATATATAGATTAATGAATCTTCAACCACCCATTATGTCATTTTTTCAATGCACAAATGTACTTATCTATATCTGTCTATGTATATATAAAATATATTGATGTATTATATATATATATATATATATATATATATATATATATATAATAAAAAGTTATACGGCATAATGATTATTGTCGGCAGAAGGATTGTTAAAAAATTTGGACGAATCCCAAAATAAGCATATCAGAGGAAAATATTTTAATTATTATTTTATTGAGAAATTTCAAGCGATAGTCCATTTAAAAATAATGTCACATAATAATAGCGCATATTTCCCTTTGAGCGTGGAATTTGATAAAAATTTTTGTTGTATTGCATAGGAAATTGAAATTGCAAGTTGAAAATTTACGTAGTATCCAAAGGCTTGGAATTATAAATAAGCTTTAACATTTTCAATGATTAAAATAATAATAATAATAATAAATAAATAAATAAATAAATGAATAAATAAATAGCTTGATTTGTAGCGCATATATGAAAAAAAAAAGAAACTAGCAAAAATCTACGTGACTTATATGTCGTTTTTATTTTCACATAATAGACGTTCGCATGACAACACTCGTACATCTCGGATTTTTATGTTAATTCCCACTCACGTATACGTCACCATCATGTTTACACTCTAAAACACCGTGTCGTCCGCTAATTGGAAAATTAAAAATTTCTCCTCGGCTCTCGCGAAACCGAAGCACACACATCGCTTTTATTCAAAGCACTCTCGAGGAACCTGAAACTTCCCTACATCCAGAGATAAATAAGCACTCATCGAGGGTCCAGTAGACATAAGCCAAGCACATGGGATATCGGCGATTTCTGTTATCACTCACTTTTTCAAGACGAGAGAACGCACGAGTTTCGCTTGGCGAAGGACCTCTAGTCCTTCAAGACCTTTGAAAGCCTGGGCTAAAAAGAAGTTGGCTGGACACCTGGAGCCAGAGCCGCTCTTATCCTTACACGTACTCACAGGTCGTTGCCAATTCGCACTGGACAATAGCAGACTGATGGGCTCTTGGCCATGGGTATCCCAACACCATCCGTTGCACTAATTATTATTACACCTTAGCCTCAAGGGCCTGCACTCACGTAACTTAGCATCTCTCGAATTTGCGCCGACGAAGATGCACAACCGGCACTAGACGCTTATACATCTGGGGGACGCGTTGTCACACTCACTCGGATCCTCTTATCAACGGGGCTGGAAAGAATCAGCGGATGAATTACTTTAAGCTTGGCGCATCGATGTCGTCTCTTTCGTGAGACGCATATCGCGCGAACATCACTGATGAGTGAGAGAGAGGTGGTACGCGAGGGCCACAGCCTGCGAACCTACCTCGCGAACAAGTTTCTTTCTTATACGCGCGTAACTGTGTCAGGGACGGTAGATTATCGATATACTCGTTACCCGAGGGTGGTGGCACCTGGAATTCTTAAGGACTGCGGCGACTTTATTTACTTTCGCTGGCTTATTCACGTGACACGCGCACTCCAAGCCCCCAAATACGCCTATTCGAGGCGTTTTCCCGCGAGGAAGAAGGCAAGGCAACGATAATACCGAGCACGTCGACCTTAGCTCCCGACAGCCTTGCTTGAACCCCACGCGCGCACGAGCGTAGCTGGAGATTGGCGAGGGCCCGCCAACCCTAGAAATTCGTCGATCTTTCTCTCTCGCTCTACCTCCCCTGTGCTTGCGTGCACAGGCGCGAAACGCTTCGAAATAAGTAACGGGGGCACCGATTCTCACTAATTCTCCGGGGCCGAGATTGTGTTGGTGAATCGACAACAGCGCGCGTACGTGCGTGCGTGTGTGCGTAGGCGCGCGCGCGCGTATCAGTGCGGTTCAGTGGCTCCAGCCGGCTGTCGGAGGGAGAACCGATCAGCTGAGGGTGGGGACAAAAACCAAGCAGGACCAACATCAACGGGCGTGCATAAGGCGGCAGACTATCGTTCTATCCTCCTTCCTGCGCCATCTCGTGCGCACCAGAACCCCACCCCCTCCCTCTCGGGCTCGCATTCTCTATCGCGCTCTCTCGCTCTCACGCTCTCTCGCTCGTACACATATACAACGCGTCTTTTCTAAATTGCGAGTGGGGGTAAAAGGGCGGCGCAGGCGTTTTGGTGCACCGACGCATTGATCCCAGGAATTCGTCGGCTAGCTTGACATAACTGGAGAGCAAAGGAGAGAATGCGCGAACTACTCCTCTACCCGGCCCACCTCTCTCTCTCTCTCTCTCTCTCTCTCTCTCTCTCTCTCTCTCTCTCTCTCCCTCTCACTCTTTGTCACTTTTGGTATGTACCGACAATGTCCAATCATCACATATCGTGCAAAATGAGTAGAGTGCATTATTCTTTGGAGCTCCCACTCGCCGATTATCGTCGTTACGTAGCATACGATTCTATATTGAAACTAGACGACGAGCGAAGGAAGTAGACAAGGATTTTAGGTAATAAGTAATAATTTATCCTTCCTTATAACGATACCAGACAAACAAATCTGTAAATCTCATTCTATCATCTCTTGGTTTTTCAATTTGTTTGGGCTGTTTGCGCGTATCTGCTTGTTCGTACGTAACCTTCGTCATCGCTTTTATAGGAGGAAATATCAACCAAGAAAATATTACTCAAATAACCAAGGATTACGATGGATAAGGATGAAAAAACAAAAGTGGCAAATTAAAGAGGCAACATGTAATAAAGAGATTAAAAAGAATTACAGGTTGATGAGCTTCAGGATATTAGAGTCCCACCTTGCACTGGTTTTATTATATTGGCTATTCCATACCACCGAGGCTTCTTTAATATGACGATTAAATATGATAAATTTATTTATATGTTTTAAATCATGATCAAATGATATTTTGATTATAATCGATATAAAATTGCTTATCGATATTATTTTTCTATATTTTTTGTTTCAACTTCTACGATATTTATTTATAATTTATTCATTTATAATTTACATGTGCTTTAAAACGTTTTAGTCTTCCTTTGTTTAGTGAAAAGAAAAATTATAATTCCATTTCTCGTTTCGTTTATTTCATGAGTTTTATAAAAAGTAAAGCAATAATAATATAAATAAGCTAAAATTAAAACTTTTCTCGAAAAAAATGCACACTTTATTAATAATAATTCGTATGGCTTATTTAAAATTTTTCTATAATAAAATATTTTAATAATTTGACATTTTCCGAATTTTTTTTTTTATATTTATTACCCTACATTTCAGATTACGAATTTAAGTATACTATCAAATAGATTCCTGCTTTTGAAAATATCTACATTACGACAGTAATATGAAATTAATATTATTGAGATATATATTTTGTACTTTTTATACGTAAATGTGGAACTAACAATCTCTATTAATATAAATATTCGCATAAATAGACTCGATAGATGCTTAAAGTATTGCTTCAAAATATAACGACAAATAGCATTGTATGGCTTTTTGAAATGACAATATCGAAAGGGAGATATAATGTATCATTTTATGTAAAGACGTGAAAATAATTGAACTCTTATAAAAGTAGATTCTAAAGGCAATATCAATCTGTATTGCAATTTCAATGTAAGACACACAGTAGAGAGAAGATGAGGTTAGAAAATGTGCAGATCGGGACTCTTAAATTTCGAAGTCTCATTCTAAAATCAATTTCGATGTTTCGGTATCAAATTATATGGAACAATAAATCGAGACTGCAAAGGGATATTATAAACAAGATTATTCAGAAGTTAAGATTCTTCTCTTTCTCTTTTTTACATACTCAAGCGCTCCCTCTCTCTCTCTCTCTCTCTCTCTCTCTCTCTCTCTCTCTCTCTCCATCGATCTATCTATCTATCTATCCACCTTTTTATTTATCTATTTATATGTAGGTATGCGTGCCTTAGCGCGCGAGCGTATTTGTTTGTATGTTTATCTATCTATTTTTTTTGTACACATACTAGTTACGAGTGAATATTCCAAAGTTTTTCAGCATAGTGATCAAGCGTATCCTTCAGCCGCCAACGCTCTTCTCCATTATCATCATTTATTGTAGCGTGTATAGTGTCGACTAAAGTCTTCGAGATAACGTGATAAAGAATTAAATAACTTATAAAAAAAAAAAAAAAAAACAATTTTTACGAAATCTGTTTTTCTAATTCCAAGAATATATAAAAAGTAATTTTAACTAATCATAAATACTGTGCGTCAATTAAGTTTAATATTATTTCAAATTATTTAACCAATTGTATATCTTAAAGTATGTATAGACTTTGCCACTAATTTAACGGCACGAAAAGAATAATTGAATTATTTGACATCAGCATTGATTTTATTTTAAAAATTGGTCCAAACATGTTCTTTCCATGATTTATTTGCCAATTCATGATCTTTGATAGATAATAATACCCTATTGATTAATATTAGACATTTCTTATTTATAATGTATTCCAATATGGGATCAAGTTTGATGGGATCAAGATTGAGATTCAAAAGCGAGAGACATGTTCAGAAGAAGGATAGATAAAAAGGACGCACGAGTAACAAGAGGAGACAAGTAACAGATTGCGCGATTGAAATACTACTTGACAAGAAAAATCCTTAAAAGCAGTTTGCCTCCAAATTCAAGATGTCTGAGTTTAATGCTAAAATTACATTAGATTCTCTCTCTTTTATTCCAATTTTTCCTTTCCTTGTTTATTTTACATTACTTTTTTCAAATTTTGCTACCTACTTATATTCTCGAACCTACTCTCTTATATTTAGTTTTTTCTTCGTCGACCTTTCTTTCCTTTTTTTACTTTCTTCAGAAAGGTTCACACTCTACAAGTTCTCATTCTCGCACTTGTTTCTTTGTTATTTTTGCACGTAGACTCATTTAAATTGTATGTTCATTAGTTAAGATAATATTTTCATATCTCCAAGGGTATATTAAATTAAGCAAAAATGTTATTCAATATTTAGTTTACATTTTCAGATAATTAACTTGAAAATGTATTTACCGAATGATGAATGATACTTAGGGTTTTTCATGTCTCTCTCTCTCTCTCTTTCTCTCTCTCTCTCTCTCTCTCTTTTGCTCTCGCTCTCAATCAGTAATACATATTCAATTTTTTTTTATTTATGTCAAGATTTATGTATTCAAGCTAAATAGAAAAGTTACTGAAAAATATTCAACAATATAGTTCAACAAATTATTATACTCCCAAGTGCACTAAATTCTTTGTATTTTATTCCGAGCATGTGAATTATTGTCGAATGAACGAAGATTCATAAAACATTTACTAGGTAATCCGTATTCAGATTAGCTAAATGTATGATGTCATTTGTGAAAACATATCGCAAACTATGCACATTCTCGGAAGTTACATTTTCAAAAGGAACAAAATTACATACATGTTTTGTGGTGTAAAAAGCAGAAAATATTACACACGACGATGAAAAAAAAAATATGAATATTATATCAACGTTTTTTGCAAACTAAATTAATGGTAGATTTTATCATTATTTTTGGTCCAACATAATTAAATCTATTAATATTAGATGAAAGCACCGTATATATTGTATAGTACTTTATTTCATTTAGTCGTAGATATTAATAAATGAGTTACCTATTAAAAAGACGAAACTTTATTTTATTTTTGTAAAATATTTATTTATTTATTGTTTTTAAATATCATATCTAGTATTGATAATGAGGGAAAAATCAATATATATTTAATATAATCCAACAACTCTATTCCTTAAATACTTTATACAAATTAAAATTATATATTTAATTATTAAATTTGATTATTCATATAATAAGATAAATTTTAGTGAAAATTACAAAAATTATTATGGTAATAAAACATAATATTTAGTATTTATGTTACTTATACGATATCCAAATTATAAATATAAAATGCAATCAATTAATCATATGAACATAATCATTGTAACTTTTATATTTAAATACAATTAACCTATTAAATTGAAACAATTTATGTTATTCAATTGTAATTCCGTTTTAGATGTTATTAATTTTTACTTCCATTGGTTCTTTTATATCATAGTAAATAGATAATCATAACGCTAATGTAAATTATCTTCAAGAGCTATTCAATTAGATATTTATTAATTTATGAATTGAAATTAAGATTATTCTTAATAATATCTGTTGACAATGCAATATATCATAATAATTTTATCCAATTAGGTAAAATAATTCTGTAAATATTCTATTCAATAGAATTTATTAGACATAGAAAGGAATTATTAAGGTTATTTCAGTTTTAACCTATGCAGTCTTTAATTATTATATT